GAGAGAGATCTGGGGCCCGAGTAGGAGCTCTTTTATCCTTGCCTCTGTCCTCCCTTCAACTACCTGCCATACCTCTTAGCGTCTTCCTCTCCGAAAGGGATAATGTTCTCCTTGAAAGAATCTTTTGAGGATTAATCGATGTCTGCTCTATGCTTTGAAAAGAGAGAGAATCCTCTCAATTCTCTCTGCTGTCCTCAAAGCTGGCCCTGGTTCCAGCTGGTGCCAGGCCTGGCCAACTGGGACACAGGGTGAGCTGTCCTCCCGTGGACTCCTTTCTGGGTATATCATTTGCCAACTGCCCAAATACAGAGGGACACATCCTCAGGTGAACATTTTGTACATTGTATATTTTTTTAAACTGGGAGAAGAAATATTTGCATCAAAATGATTATCGTCCTGGGAAGTTAGTGAACATCTGTGACATTTTTTTCATTTCTCTCTCTCTCTTAAAAAAACTTTGTAGTGTAGGGGCAAGAGTAGTTATAGTCTGCCACCTCTCAAGGAATTCTCTTGCCGGGCCATTTATATGTTAATTTTGTGAGGTTTGGGGAGGAAAAGGATGCTACTTGCTTGAGATAAGCACTTTCACCTCAATGAATTCTTTGTTAGAGTTGTTTAACCACAGAAATGGAACTGGCAACTATTTATTGGAAAAATCTAGATAATGCAGTGTGAATTAAGAACTGGAGGGTTCTAAGGAAAAGATGGACAAGAGAAAGAAAAAAATAGATCTGTTTTGAGGATAAACTGAACAGAATTAAGAAGTAAAAAAAAAATTAATTTGACTAGGGATATAGCTCAGTGGTAGAGCACGTACCTAGCATGCATGAAGTACTGGGTTTGATCCATACCACAACAAAATAAAAACAAAAACAACAACAAAAAAACCCACAAAAAAAATCAACAAAACTGAACCAAGTCAAAGACATTCTTAGTTGTCCTGTTTTCTTGGGGGACAAGTTGGGAGGGTGAGCTAGCTGAGTGTGCTGGGTTTTCTTCCAGTGCGTTGGCTAGGCCTGGGGATGTGAGAAGGGACAGAGACCCCGAGGCTGACAGTCCCAATGGGACATTCAAAGGGAGCCTTCTTTTCCTGACATTCGCATTTGCTCTCTGGTCCTTGGTTCTCTTAAAGTCTTTCCAGAATTTAGGGGATTGTTTCTCAGCACAGGCCCTATCAACAGGGACCCATTGTTACTCTCTTCTAAATTATATTCCTGGATTCTTGAAAAACAAGATTTGGCAACTCTGAATCTTCATTCCACCAAGGTGGCCAGCAGCTGCTGCCCTTTAGATAGGGCAGTGGGATTGCTACTTTCTGGGTCGCCAACTTTGGGAAGTATTGACTTCCCAACTGTCTGGAAAGTTAGTGAGAGGCAAGAGTGTTAATGCAAAAGTACCAGCAAGCAGGCATGGGTGAGCAGGTGGAAGCCCAGGGATTCAGGCCCTGAGGGGATTAACCTTATGGAAAGGTCACAACTCTGCTTGAGGTTGAGGGTGTATAAACTGAACAACAGACTGGAGAAGAGTTAATCTTGGGGTGAGGCGAGGAGAATCAGATTAGCATGGCACACAATTAAAGATGTTTGTGGCCTGTGTGTTTGAAAATGAAATGCTTCTTTCTGGCATGCTTATGGCTTTGGAGAAGTGCTGTGGATGAGCACTTAGACTAGAGAGAGGCTGGAGTAAGGGATACTATCCCAGCCTTTGTGATGCCTGGTGCATCCAGGTACTTGATAAACATTATCTAACAGTAGCCAGGATGGACTTGCTGATGCACTCAACTTTGAGATCTGGCGGACTAACTTCTCTCTCTTAATATGCTCGTCAGCTGAGTAATTAGGAGACACTAAGCAGTCATTGCAGACAGATCCAGAGGGCCAGGCAGACCACACACACAGGTGAGGGGACATCTGGGTGGGAGAAGTAGAATAGGGAATGGAGGGCATTGTTGTAAGCTGGAAAATTACTGCTGGCAATTGAAAATTGTATATGAACTCTGAAAACTTTAAGGGCAACAAATTAACTTTTCATGAAGAAGAATTGCCTGGACCAAAGAAAAACCCTCAAGGGCATATTTGGTTTGTAACTTTTGGTATAAGTTTCCTTCCTTACTTGGCCACTGACTACTTTTCTGAGTCCAGGGGATGGTGAGGAAAGAGATGTTGTGGATGAAGGATGTCTGCGAAGATGCAGTTGAGGAAGGTGGAATGTGAGTCTTGGGTCATACCATTATCATGTTGGGTGGGGAGGTCTGGACCTTGAATGCTTCACTGGGGACAGCTTCGAGGCCTGGGAGGGGTTTTTTTTTTTTTTTTTTTTTTTTTTGTGTGTGTGTGTGGTACTGGGGATTGAACTCAGGTCCTTGTTCTTGTGAGGCAGGGGGCGGCACCACTGAGCTAAATCCTTGGTCCAAGGCCTACGAGGAATTGTGCACAGAGGTAGGGAGGCCAATGCAGGAAAAGTAGCTGAGGGGGAAGTGTGCAGGCTGTGAGTGGCAGTGTGTGGGCAGGTAGGGTGCAGAGGTCAGCGAGGTAGCAAGGACAGCCCTGGGAGCAGGAGTGGGCAGGAGCGAGCTGGCATAGACTCCAAGGCTGAGGCTGTTTGCCTTCTGTCTTCATGTGGCCTTGTGGGTTTGCATAACCTCTTGTCAACCATGCGCAGGGGAAAAGTGTCTCAGCCATAATTAGAAGCTCCGTGCGTTGGGCATCAAAACTTGGCCCAGTCCTCCAAACTTGTGATCGTCATCAGGAGTATAAGCCTGTCCTACAGGGAGAGAAGCAGAATGGCATAGTGGTTAAGGAGAGGATACATTTGTGCTCAGACAACTTGGGTTTGAATCTTAACTTTGTCACTAGCCATGAAGCTGGGCCAACTTACTTTGGTGGGGCGGGGGTTGGATGGCTCATTTGGGCATAATAATAATTCCTACCTTATAGGATTATGGTGGGGAGTATATGAGAATGAATATTACAATGTAGGAGAAGTGCTTAATTCAGGCCTGGTACCACTGTACTAAGTGCTCACATTGAGCTCATTATTAGGACACAAGCAGTAACCTCAGCTAACTTGTGGTTAAGCACAAAATCCACTGTCTCAGCAGAGAGCTGACAACAGACGCAGGGAGAGTTCATCCCCTCCCCCACTGCAAACACTTTCCTAAACATAGACCCTCAGGCCTGAGCTCCTGTTTTCTAGGAGAGAAGGAAACATTATCCTCACTTGAATAAGGGTCCTCTACAAACCTTGGATAAGTCAGTTTGTTTGGCTCTGATTCTACCCTTGTTATGTAATGGTGTTTTACATTCAATTAACAAATATTTGCTGAGCGACTACTCTATTCCAAGTGCTATGGAAAGGTTTGGGAATGTTGAGCAGAATAAGACAAGGTGAGAACCTTTAGGTGCTGAATCTGGTGTATAGGCTAAGCTGCTATAACAAAAAGATCCCTAAATAGAATGGTTAAATAGGAAAGGGATTTATTTACTTCTTCATTGAGTCCAAGGGCAAGCATATCACACTGGTAGGTTGGTTTTTTTCTGTTTTGCTTCTCTCAGTTTGTGTTTCAAGATGAAGGATGTGGGAGGTAAGGAAGTCCAGGACAAGCAGCTTCATTAAGCAGCTTCCACTCATAGTCTATTGGCTGGACTTAAGTCATGTGGCTTCATCTAGCTACCGGGATGCTGGGGAATGTAGTTTGGAGCAGATGGACAAGAGCTTGGGTAAAACTGAGGGTAGGGATTTCATAAAAAGGAAGCAAAGCAAATGAGTATTAGGATGCATTTAGCAGATTATCCTCCAGGGATGTAGAGAAACAAACTGATACTCATAATAGCTAGGTAGAGGGTCCTCTCAAGACCAGCAGCTGAATTCTTTAGAGAAATATGTTCTGGACTTCATGAAGGTTTGAATTTTGAAATCAAACTTCTCATTTCAAATCCCAGCTCTGTCACCTACCCTGTGGTGTTAGTGTGAGGATGAAATGAGTTAAGCCATGTGAAACTTTTAGGACATGGGCTGGCCCAGAGTAAATGGCGCAGAAGCGTAGGCTATTACTGTTGGAGTGAGGAGATGTGTTCAAGAAAGTCAGCTGACCCAGGGAGATCTGGGGACTCTAACATATTTACCGCCTTCCTGAGTTTTATAGCTTCGTTTCCATGGATGCAACAGTGGGGTGCTGAACCCTTGGCCCCTCTTATCACTGGGAAATGTTAGTGGAGATAAACCAGGCATCCGAAGGGGCTGGCATTCTGAAGAAAAAAAATCTGTTTGTGTTTGCTTCAATTGGAACTAGGGGAGGAATTTAGAGGGTGTTTCCAGGACTGGCTCAGCTTTGCATAGCTCGAGTCAGAGCAAATGAATGTAGTTGGTGGTCTACAGGTCTCTGAGGGAAGAGGAAGAGTTCCTCTTCTTGGGCTGTCTCTGTGTAAAGAGTTCTAGAAATGATTTAAAAACTGCCACGTAGCTAAATAAAAGGGATGGTGGGTAGTAAGGCCTCAGGAGGCTAGGAGGATGTTACTCTTGGGGAAATCCTGGTGGCTTATCTGAGGCCTTTTCAGCAAGAAGAAAAACACAGAAAAGCTGCCCCTTCAGAGTGCTGCACTGGTAGGAGTTGAAGTGTCCTCTTCTGGAGAGAGCTGGGTGTCCTCTAATGTGTAATAAGTATCACATTTTCCATCTGCAGGTGTCATGTGGACAGAGAACTTTCCTTGCTTTAGAACAAGAGCTTTAACTTCTCTTGGAAGCTCTCACAGGGGATAGATTTTAGTAGAAAAAGAAATAGATATTGGGAATGTTTTCTCACCAGCATTTTGCCCATCTCATTTTCAGAGTCCGAGGAGTTTTAATACCTTTTCTTCCTAGGTTTTGGAATTGGACCTCACACTACTTTGGAAAGTAGCATTGGATATCATGTTGCCACAGGCACCACTTCAGACTCTTTGTGAGCATGTAGTAGACTTCCAGGAAGTGGGATGGCAGGAGAGGAGGGAGCACATGGTGGAAGATTTGTATGTGTTGAAGTCTCCCACTTACTTCCCCATGACTGTGGGGATTCCAGCAGAGATGCGTCAGGCATGCACATGGCCTGGATGGGTCTGGCTCACGGGTAAATAGACATCTGATTGTGTCCCTGCTTGTCTCTCAACCATGAGGTCTGCGGCTGTTGGTAGCCATGGTCGGTCTACAGTTTTCACCCACATCTTTTCCAGCTCACCCTCCTTTCTTCTCTGACATGTTTCCCATCTGAGCCTTCAGTGTTCCTTCCTTACCCCGGGGCTTACTTCCCAAAATAAAGGGGGCTGTGGGAACTGATTAAGCCTGGGTTTCCCACCCAAGGAGGCCTCACATGAGATTTTGACATTATCTTTATACCAAATTTTATGAGTAATTACCAACTTCTTCACCATAAAGTGTCAAATGCATAGTCAGTGACTGTTCTATCCTACCCAGGAATTCTAGCATCCTGAATTAATACTTTAAAATAAATATAGATTCTATAAGTCTCTTGTGATCATAGTTATTTTATGCTGTGTTTGAGTTTGTGTGAAGTATGAATTAAGTGTTAAGCATGAGCATCTGTAATGTAATTGAGATGCTATGATCATATTGCTTCGTTTTTAATAACCTGGGTACTTGGTCTTTTCTTGCCCCTTGAGAAACCTGTCTTTTCTATGTAAGAGGGTAATCCAAAGAAGAGCAGTAAATACACTGACAGGGCATTATTTACCTGTCCAACCACAGTGAAGGGAGCTTTCCTGAGTATCATAACCCAGAAGTGAAAAGCTGTTAAGGATGTTTAGTCTGTTGAATAGAAAGGCATCAGTAAGGAATGACATTGCTTTAGTCATTGAAACTTAATATCCAGGCAGTTAGAGACCGTTTTCTAACTTTTAATTCTGAAATTCTACCCCTGGATACCTGTATGGTCCCTGTCACTGCCTCGACTATAATCCTGAAATCCACAGACCAGTCCCTTCTGTCCAATATGGGGCCCAAAACATAATGGGACATAATAAACAAGTGGTATAATGCTTAACAGTACAGACTGTGGAGCCAGACTGCTCAGCTCTGTTACTTGTTATCTGTGTGACTTCGAGCAAGTTACGTACCTTCTCTGGGGCTCAGTCCCAGACTACATAGTGGGTATTATATCAATCCCTACCTTATAGATGGGGATTGACTTAGTTAATGTATGTGAGCTCTTAGAGAAATGCTTAGCGTATGTAAGCCCTGCATGAGCACTAACTGTTTTTATATTATTAATGAACTGAATGGCAGCCCAAGTTTGCCCAAGGTGCTGGAGCCTTTAAAGGATCTTTCCCATCTTTGGCTCCTGTTTTGTTACCATTGATTTCTTCTCCAATACCTCTTTGTGAAAGTAGACTTGATTTCCACATAAAATGATTATGCCTTTTTCACTCGTTGCCAACAATTTTTTATTTTTCAAAAATTTTTAATTTTTTTAGTTTTTTGAGACAGGGTCTCACTCACTACGTAGTTGAGACTGACCTAGAACTCACTGTGTAGCCCAGGCTGGTCTCGAACTCACAGCTATCCTCCTGCCTCAGCCTCCTGAGTGCTGGGATTACAGGCATGCACCACCACACCTGGCTCCCAACAATTTTTTAAATAGGGAAACAAAAGAGGAAGGAAACAATAAGTCCAGATGTTTTGGAAGTAAACCCAAGCCCAGCTACAGTGGATAGTGCAAGGGATTTATTACCTGGATAGAGGCTGCACATCTAGATTTCGGAAACTGCTCTTTTGCAAACAAAGTGCCAGTTTCTCTGCTGCCTTTCATTTCTTCTCACAGAGTATTCTTCCCCAATAATTAGTCTTTGTGCTGTCAGGGGGACACTTCCCAAGGTGATACACACCAGACAAAATCTGGCTCGAAGGGCCTTGTCCACCTTATCAGGCTTGTTTTCATTCACAGGCTTCTTGTCTTTTAAATTTTAAAAGTTGGAAGTATAACGTGCACACAGAAAAGTGCACATACATTTGGCCAATAAATCTGCACAAGTTCTTCATTTCTGTGTCACCAACACCGGTTTAAACAACATTTCAGACCCTACGGAAGCCCAACTGTGCCCCTTACAGTAACTCCGACAGCCTCAATCCTGGCCCACCATGGGTGAGCTCCTGCTTCTGACCCCATCCAAGTGTCTGGATTCCCTGTTCAACAATGAATCTGTGAAATTCACCCACAGTGTTGGCTGCAGTTGTAGCTTGCTGCATAGTAGCCTATTAATGGAGATAAGCCACGATCTCTTTGCCCATTTTTGTTTTGATGGGCATATGGTAGTTTCTGATTTGGGGTTGCTGTGATGTGCTGGTGTGTATCTTTTGGGAACTTTCAGCATGTACACTTCACAGTGGGATTGCTGGATCTTGGTGTAGGTATATGTTTGGTAAATGTTACAAAATGCTTTTCCATAATAGGGGTGCCAGTTATCAGCTTGATTTTAATGAAACTTAGTTTATATCCAGATTTAAGTAGGGTTTTAAAGAAGAATGCTATCACAAGGATTCTGTTGAATTTTCCATTCCCCATACTCTTCTCTCATGCTTATCACTAAATGGTAATCAGGTAAATTTACTCAGATAGTTGCAACTGCCTCTTTTCAAGGAGGAGCTTGACTTTTAGATCTATGCTTGAAATGAGAGTTTTAAGATTTTCCCTCTAAATTTCTCCCTTTTTTCAGGAAGAGGAAAAACAACTGCTATACTTCCCACAAAAGAAGTCCCCCCCTTTATAAATAAAATTTACATCTTAGGGAACTTTTGAATGAAAATCAAATGCCAGTAGAATTTCCTAAGATTTAATGACTGGATTCTGCTCAGAACTTCAGTTGCAGTTTTCCTTCTTTGGAATTGGACTAGTTGGGCAGGTAGAGACGAAAGTGTTTGTCTGTCCAGCTGCTCACTTTCCCTTGTAAATAACCACAATGCAAGGCATTTCAGAAATGCAGAGATAAAGGGCCTTTCTGTCCAGCTTTTAGATACTTGTAAATAGGGAGCCCTGAGTCTCTGAGGAGATGTATCTGAGAGTTTGGGCTTGTCCTCTCTTCTCTGATCCCCAAACAACAAGCTTGAAACAACATCTCCTGGAATAATGGCACAAATATTATTTTACACCCTGTTCCCTCGTAAAAACCTTCTAACCCAAAGCACTCTGAATTCCGGCAGCGTGCAGCAGTTATCATTTTATTTTACGGGTGGGAAAATGGGGATCTGCAGAGTTGACTTGCCTGGGAAGACTGAAAGAAGTGGAGTTTGGAAGTCAGATCCATGCCTGAGGGTTTGTATCTCTAGGAGTGGAGGGTCCCTTTTCTAAGGAGAATTTTAAAGATGATGTACTGTATCAGCTCGTTTATGATGGGTGACATTCACATCCTTGCACTGGCATTTTGTCTGGATAGAAAATGCTCTTTGGTAAGGACATGTTGTCAAAGAGTCTATTGCTTTTTTGTTTGTAGTGGCTAAGAATTGAAACTGAGTGAATATCCATCAGTAGGGGAATGGCCTAATAGCTCTGACTTATAAGAGAACCATTAAAATGATTTGGCAAAGTAAGGTAGAATAAAAAAGGAGAAAACTATGTATAATATACAATTCCCCTTTTATTACCAACAACCAACCCCTGTAAGACTGTACTATTCATGTGTGTTTATGTGTAAAATTACATGAATATGGAGAAAAATGAGGAAGGACATGAAGTAAGGTGTTAATGTGAGTGTGTTAATCAGGTTTCTGTTACCATAACAAATACTTCAGATAAATAAACTCATAACATAGAGAGTCTTATTTTGGTTCATAGTTTTAGAGGTTTTTGCCTGTGACTGGCTGGCCCTGTTGCTCTGGTCTGGTGTGGCACAGTTTATCATGGCAGGAGCACTTGGTGGAGGAGACCCATTCACTTTGTGGTGGTCAGGTGTAAAGGGGAGAGGCTGCAGCTCCATTATCACCTTCCAGGGATTGTCCCTAGTGACCTACTGTCTTAGTTGCTTTTCTCTTGTTGCTAGGTCCAAATACCAACACTGAAAGTTAAAAGGGAAAAGATTTATTTAACTCACAGTTTGTAGAAGTTTCAGTCCGTAATCAGTTGGCTATAAGGCAGGATGTCATGGAAGAGGGGCATCACAGAGGAAAAGCAATTCATGGTGGGCAGAAGGTAGCAAAACAAGTAAGCAAGGGACAAGACAAGCCTCTTTCTGTCCCTTATATTGTATTCAGGCTACTGGGATTAGAGTGGTGCCAAACCAATCAGTAGACTGATAATAATCACCCACCCTTAATCTTAGCATCCTTAATCCTAGTATTGCACCATTAATCAGTTACACACCTAGATTCACACTCTGAAAAAGCTCCACCTATGACTGCATTAGGTTTTGGGGAGTCATCTAGACACAAGCCATAACACCTACCTTCCTCCAATGAGGCCCCACCTCTTAAACATTCCACCACTTTCCAGTAGCACCATAGCCATTAACCTTGAGCACCCAGCCATTAACTCATAGGCCTTTGGGAGACATTAAAGATTCAAACTATAGCAGTGGACTACCTCGAAACGTAGGGACAGGGGTGCTTATGTGGGAGGGTGGAGATCAGGAAAGCAGCATATGTAATGTAATGCCATTGGAATAAATTATATATGCACATATATGTATATGTATGTATATGCTTGAAAGAATGCATCAAATGTGTAAAAATAAAAAAATCAAAGAAATAAGTGCAGTTTGAATAAGAACAAGACTCTGAGCCCTACATGGGTCAGATAGCTCTGCAAGGATAAGAGCTAAGTTCTCCAGGTGAAGGCTTTACCTTCCAGGTGAGCCGTGTTGTAGGTAGAGGACATTGGTCAGAAGTGGATGGCTGAGCACAGACATACTGCTGTGCTCTGCAAACCAGTAATTGTAGCTGCCATCTGTGAAGTGAGTACTGTGAGCTGGCATTCTCACACTTTCCCAGAGCTGGATACTTTTATCCCATTTTATGCATGATGATAAACCAGTGCAAGTAACTCAAGGTCACATAGCCAGTGAGCAGTGCTGAGATTGAAGCCTGGGTCTGATTGTGGTATGCCTGGGTTTTGGATCTCATGTC